GGGGGGTGGGTGGGTGTCAGCACCCCCCAAACACAACCCCAAGACCCAGCTGCACCCACCCCTGCCAGTGCCCATCTCTGCTGCTAGCCCCTGCCTTTAGCCTGGGGGGGCAGAGAGGGGGTGGGGGCGAAGTGAGGCAAAGCTGGGGGACCCCCCCGCTGTGTCACCCCCTGTGTCACCTCCAGCTTGCCGGGGAAAAGACTCTCGAACTTCTTCTGGAGGCTGAAGGTGAAGGTGAGCCAGCCCATGTTGGAGGCCTCCCGGCCCTGCCAGAAGTAGACGATGCACTGGAAGTCTTCCTCAGGCTGCTTCTCCTCCTCTTCTTCCTCACCCTCCTCCTCCCCTTTGCCTTCACCCTTTTTCTTCTTCTCTTCCTCCTCCTCGTACTCCACTGGCACCCAGTACCTGAGGGCAGGAATGGGGCGGGGGGTGATGTCAGGGATAGGGCAAGCTGGGGGTCTGGGCAAGGAGAGGGGGGGTGGGATATGAGGTGGTCCAGCAGCCCCGGAGAGGGGACAAGCCAGGTGTCACCTGCAGAGGAAGACGTAGCAGTCGTGGGTGTGGAAGTGGCCAAACTCCTCCTCGGGCAGGCGAGCGAATTTCTTGCCCTCCAGCACGAAGCCCTCCATGCCATCCAGGTCCTCGTTCCACTCCTCCATCAGCTGCTCCGCCTGCGGCCCCACGTGCTCCATCAGCGCCCGGCCCATCGCCACGGGACACACACACACACACACACACACGGGAGGGTCCCCAGCCCTACCTCGCTCAGGGGCATGGGGGGCTGGCGGGGCAGGAAGAGCGCCGTGAGGTCGGCCTTCATCTGGTCCTTCTTCTCGGCGTCCTTGCGGACCTTGCCGCTGAGGCCGCCCTCCTGCAGCACCGTCTCGGCGTTGCGGGTGTAATCCACGCGCAGGACGTCGTCCCAGTTCTTGAACTTGGACTTGAAGACCTACGTCGGGGAGCAGGGAACGCACCCTGAGCCCACAGCACCCTCCCTGGCACCCAGCACCCCCTCTGAGCAGGGGGGGGCGGGTCTGTGACCATTCGTAGGGCTGCCCTACCTGGCACTCGGTGCCCTCCAGGTTCCTGGTGACCATGGCGTGCTTGGGCCGGTGCAGCATGCCGCACAGCTCCTGGCTCAGCTTCAGTGCCGCCGCCCGCACCAGCCGCGGCGACTTCCTCCCGATCCAGATGAAGACGTCGGACCAGCAGTCCAGGATGTACACGCTCTTGGTGTCCAGCAGGCTCTGCAGCTGAAGGCACCGCAGGGAGGGGGATAAAAAGGGCCTCAGGTACCTCGTGGGCTTTCCTGGCTGGGAAACACCCTGCCTGATCCCGAAAGGCAGCCGGGTAGAGCAGAGCATCCCCCACCCAAGGCGCCCCGCTGGCCCAACCTGCCTCTCCCAGGGCAGAGCTGGAGGCAGAGGGGGCATGAAACCAGTCTCACTGGTCAGACGGGGAGAACCTCCCTGCCCCATCCTACCAGGCGCATCTCTGGCATGAGATCAGCCTTCAGCCTCTTCTTGTGCTCCACCGAGAGCTTGTAGTTGATCTGAGGCAGCTCCAGGTAGCCCAGACCCAGGCCAACCTGCGGAGGGGACAAGGACCCGGGTGAGGGAAGGGGGCTGCAGGACCCTGACAGTGCCAACAGCCCCCCCCACCCCTCCAGGTGGCTGTCCCCTACCTTGTACAGCTTGGGCTTGTGGGGCTGGAAGTCATCGGGGACGCAGGGCCGGATCTCCTCGGGCTGCCCCCCCAGCGCCTCCCAGAAGTCGGGGGTCTCCTGGCCCTGGGTGAGCAGCGTGATCTCCGCCTTGCCCTTCCGCTCGTTCTTGTTGATCTTCTCGGCGAAGAGCCTGCAGCGGGGAGCGGGTGAGAGGGCAGGTGGGCTCCCCACAGCCCCCCTCAGCCCCGCCAACCAGCCCTACCTGGCCTTGGTGGTGCTGCTCAGCGTGGCCTGGCTCCCGCGCCACACCAAGAGGTTGAGGCCGTGGTCCAGGAGGAAGACAAACCTGGTGGACACAGAGGTGGGAGAGGACAGTCAGGAGACACAGGGGGGTGGGATGAGCATCCTCCCCACCCGGGGGGTCCTTGCAGGGCAGGGAACCGCAGCGGTTTGCGCTGCCAAGTGGGGTTTGGCCCTCCTTTCTTGTAGAAAGGGGCTGGCACAGCCGATTTTTCACCCCAGAGCTGCAGCTACGATGTCTTCGGTGGACCCTGCCAGCACCCTGCGTCCCCTGGCCGCTCCCCCTGCCCACCTGGGGTCCAGCGATGTCCCTTTCAGTGCGACTGGCTCCAGCTTGACGTTCTTCTTCCCGTAGACACGGTACAGCCTGGGGTGGGAGAGACAGCCACAGTGGGACGTGGGGCACCGCCTGCCCCACGCATCCCCCCAGCCCCTGGCCCCAGCGGTACCTGGTGACATACTGCGTGTCCTCGACGGTGAAGAAGCCACTGGCCGTGCCACCCTCGATGTAGGAGATGTCGTTGTCGAAGACCTGGGGGGGCAGGGAGGGGGTGAGGGTGGGAGAGGCAGGGTTGGGAGCCGTGGCGGGGCCAGGGGTCGGCCTCACCTGGAGGAACTCGTCGCTCTCGTCCCCCATCTCCTCGCGGATGCTGCGGCACTCGGCCCCCAGGTAGTTGCGGAGGTTGACAGCGTGGATGGCGGAGCAGGCCTTCTTGTCCAGCGTGGCCTCCTGCCCGATCCAGTAGTAGATCTCCCAGTTGAGGGAGCCGTTCTCGTCGAGGAAGGTCTGGGGAGGGACAGGGAGTGAGATGGGACGGCTGCGGCCCCGACTTGAGGACGGGGGGGACACCCCTCGCTCCTCCCCACGTACCTTGAGCACGATGTAGCAGTCGGCCTCGTAGAACTTGCCGTGGAAAGCCTCATCCACCAGCGTGGGCACGAAGTTCTCGATCTGCCAGACGCAGAGGCCGGGCAGCTGCCCCACGTCCTCGCTGAAGAACTCGGAGTAGTCCAGCTGCGGCTTCTCCAGGCCCTGGTCCCAGCGGCGCGTCTTCAGGTCCGGCGCCTTCGCCTCCCCGCTCTCCTGCGGGGACGAGGACGGGTCGCTACGCTGGGCTCAACTGGGTCCCTGTCGGCACCTGGGGTGGGCCAAGGGCACCGCTCAGGGCCCCTCTCCCCCTCCAGACCCTACCTCTATCTTCTTGTTCTTCTCCTGGGCCACGTCTGACATCCCCTTCAGCACCTGCTTGGCCTGGTCGTCCTGGGCAGAGTCCTTGCGCCGCCGGAGCCGCATCTTGCGGGCCAG